TTTGCCTTTTCGTTTTTGTCTGTTTTTTTTGCGCACGAAGGGAAATTCATTTTTGTCAGTCTCACCAGAAAACTTTTTTATAGAGACCTGCTCCAAACTACAAGAAGATATACAATTTTATATAATAATAGCTGTCCCGGTTTGTGTTGTGTTATGTTGGTGTTGTGTATGTGTTGTGTTGTGTTTGTGTTATGCTTGTGTTGTGTTGTGGTTGGGTTTGCGTTTGGAATTGGTTTGTTTTCGTTTGCTTTTTTGTTTGTTTTTTCTTGGTATTTATGTTTGTGGTTGTGGTTGGGTTTGTTGTTAGGTTTTTGTTTTCGTTAGTGTTTGTATTTGTAATTGTGTTTGCGTTATGTTTGCGTTTTTTTTGTTGTTTTTTTTGGTTGGTTGTGGTTAGGATGGGCAATGCCGGGTATATGATGATTACTAAACACACAAGTAATGGTCCTTAACAGATAGGTTTTTCACAGAGGCCAGAGCAGGGCTTGGCTGGGACGGCTAGTATATATATATATATATATATATATATATATCGATGGTCTAGGTCGCAAACAGTCTATCTAAAACAAATTCAATTTTCTTTTTTTTACATAAATCGAAAGCTAGTATGATTCCCCATTATGCCTGAAAATATTAGAGAAATATGTAGAATGATTATTGAGATATAATCATTTGAACAAACCGCCTATTATTTCTAGCGCTAAAAATCTCGGCGCAAAACAAATACCGCTATATTTGTCAGAACACTTTTTATTGGGAATACGGGTGCACGCTGCAGTTACATGATTTTACACCACAGCAGTCAAAGTACTTATAGTTAGGGATATTTGATTAATTATGTTCATGTATTCTTATTACATTATATTATTTTAAAGAATAATAAACAAAGAGTATTTGTTTAATATAGCCTACTCCTAGTAAATTTTCTAGAACCAAACTATGTTTATATTTTTATTAGGCTAACACAATGCTTTGAAACTAGATCTTTATTCTAGAATCTAAATATAGAGATCAATTTAAACAACATTATTCGAATTGTATTTCCACAAGCTTTAGCAATAAATTAAATTATTGTTAATTCACTACTAGCTTTAGATTAAGGGTTTAGCTACGTGTTAAGAAATTTTTATATGGTAGGTCGCAAAATGTTTGGTGTACATATTAAATGACATGCTTAGTTGTCTATTGTAAATGCTTTTATGTTTACTATTGGTATTAATGGCCAAATATTGAGATGGCAATTCAATAAAAAATAAGCATGCTTCAATGGTTAACACACTAAAATATGAGGTTAGCAATTAGCTTACTACAGTGATGAGTATTAAATATTTAGATTGCAGATTAAACTTCAAATTATTTTATCACATGATATGAAATAATATAGACAGATGCTACCATACAGAAGGAGAAGGCTATTAAACTTAGCTAGCAATCTCAACTGTCATCTGGTGCTAGGGCCTTGTCGTGGCTTGGCAGCTTGCGTACCCTGACGACCCCCAGAGCTATACCAGCGGGAGTGTTAACTCCTGGCAGGTTCAACCAAGCTGGGAAGGTCTGCGCGGGTAGGGGTCAGACGAAAGCTAGCACCCTGGTCCTCCAGGTTGGGGGTTGAGCATAAGGTCAGCAACCTTATCTCGTAAAACAACTATCGCTACAGAAACGCAGACAGAGAGAAACAAAGACAGCTCGGACCAGGGGAAAAATGGATCTCCCGATGGAGAATTCATGAAGCCGGGTGGTGAAAGCCAATATGTATTGGAAACTACCAGGTCGACCACCATTATTTCCACTAGGACCACCATTAATATTGGAGCTTGGAATGTCCGCACGATGTACGAAGCTGGAAAAGCAACCCAAGTAGCAGCAGAAATGAGACGCTATAAAATAGCTATCCTGGGTGTCAGCGAATCAAAAGGTGGACTGGCTCAGGACAAAAAAGACTGATAACAGGAGAACTACTGCTGTACTCAGGCCATGAGGATGAAAATGCACCACATACTCAAGGAGTTGCACTCATGCTATCAAACCAAGCACAAAGGGCTCTCATCGGATGGGAGGCACACTGCCCGCGGATCATAACAGCTACCTTTAAAACTAAAATAAGACGAATAAACATGGACAAAAAAAAAGGCCTACGCCCCAACAAATGACAGCAAAGAGGAGGACAAAGACGAATTCTACAACAGGCTAATGTCCATTATCCAGAACCGCCCAAGAAGAAACATCCTTATACTCATGGGCGACTTCAATGCTAAGATTGGAAGTGACAACAGAGGATATGAAGAATGTATGGGACAGCAGGGTTTAGGTGAGATGAACGAAAACGGAGAAAGATTTGCTGACTTGTGTGCCACAAATAATTTAGTCATTGGCGGTAGTCTCTTTCATCACAAAAGGATACATAAAGCTACTTGGGTATCACCCGACCTATCTACAGAAAACCAGATAGACCATATATGTATCATAAAAAAGTTCAGGAGATCACTTCAGGATGTACGCGTCAAGAGAGGAGCTGATGTTGCTTCAGACCATCACCTACTGGTAGCTAAAGTAAAACTCAAGCTGAAGAAAAACATGTTGGAAAACAAAAGGAAATACAGATACAACACAGGCCTGCTAAAGGACCCATCTAAACTCAACGAATTTAAACTTCATATGTCCAATAGGTTTCAGGTACTACAAGAACTAATAGAAGAAGAGACGATAGAGGAAACATGGGAAAAAACTAAAAGCATATTAACATCAACATGCGAAGAAGTGCTAGGCCCTATCAAAAGACAAGCGAAGGAATGGATATCAGCAGATACCATGAAAATTATTGAAGAGAGAAAAAGAAAGAAGGCAACATTCAACAACAGCCGCACACGGGCTACGAAATTAAAAGCACTGGAAGAATACACCGAAACGAACAAAAATGTCAAGAAACACATAAGGAAAGACAAATTTTGGAACTGCTGGCAAGAGAAGCGGAAGAAGCACTGTACCATGGTAATATTAGGGACATGTACAATACAATTAAGAAGATATCTGGTAAGTACAGTAAGCCAGAGAGGCCAGTGAAAACCAAAGATGGAAAGACAATACCTGATGCGGAAGGACAGATGAAGAGATGGGTAGAACATTTTGAAGAACTACTGAATAGACCAACACCAGAGTGCACGCAAGACATACCACCAGCTGAAAGTGATCTCCCTATAGACTGCAACCCACCTTCAAAAGAAGAGATACATAAAGCTATAAAGCAGCTGAAAAATTGGAAGGCTCCAGGAATAGATGGTATACCGGCAGAAGCACTGACAGCAGATATAGAAACTAGCACCACACTATTATACACGCTCTTCAAGAAAATCTGGGAAGATGAACAAATACCAGAGGAGTGGAAGGAGGGACTACTCATAAAGCTTCCAAAGAAAGGCGATCTTAGTGCATGCTCTAACTATAGAGGGATAACACTTTTGTCCATCCCAGGCAAAGTCTTCAACAGAATACTATTAAACAGAATGAAGGAAGCGATAGATCCCCAGCTTCGAGATCAACAGGCGGGCTTTAGGAAGGAAAGGTCATGCATAGACCAAATTGCTACCCTGCGCATCATCATTGAACAGACCCAAGAGTGGAACTCATCTCTCTATATTAATTTCATAGACTATGAGAAGGCCTTTGATAGCCTGGATAGGCAGTCAATGTGGAAATTGTTGAGACACTACAGGGTGCCACAGAAAATAGTCAACATTATTATGTCTTCATATGAAGGTCTCAAGTGTAGAGTAGTGCATGGTCAACAGACTACAGAGGTATTATGGCAACGGACAAATCAACTGCCAGCTGAAGAAGAGATCCTCCAGAGAAAATGGAAGGAAGCCTGTATCCAGCATGGAATCCACAGGGCAGGAGGAGGAGAGGCAGACCAAGAAAGACCTGGAGATGTGACCAGGAAGAAGACACCAAGAAGATCGGATACACCTGGGGACAGTTGGATAGACTAGCCCAGGACAGAGATACCTGACACCAAGTAGATTGGATACACCTGGGGACAGTTGGAGAGACTAGCCCAGGAAAGAGATGCCTGGAAAGCTCTTGTCAGCGGCCTATGTCCCAGGAGGGGCAACAGGCAAACCTAAACTAACATTAGATGAACCCTTAGTGATATGTATGTACATTTTTTTAAATTGTGAAAATTTTATGTGTTACTGTTTTGAGCTTGCCTTTATGCAATACTCTTAAATTTTCCTACATTATTTTTAAACAAACATACATATCTGTGTTAACATTTAAACTAAGACATGGTTATAAATGGCTGGAACAAAGCCTAGCCAAAACCTGATAATATATAAAAATGAAAGTGTGTCCATGGGTGACTGTTTTTTTTTGCGGTCTGTGGATTTGTCTTTTATGCAGTACTACTACCTTCCAACCATTTGCTATGTAACTTTGGCAAATTGAGGATTCTCCTCAAATTAAATGAGGAATATTAAATTTTAGAAGTGTGGCGCCCCAGCTGGTTGTGGTTTCGGCGCCCAGTGCTCTCCAACCGCTATCTTAGCACCTGGGATCTGACTTTTGGGAACCCTGAACAGGGGTGAGGGGGTATTCATTGATTCAATAGTCAAACTGCACTAGGTGCAACCATTAGCCATATGACATTGAGATCCCCAGTGAGCACTATGGCGCCTACATTTGTTTCAAGGAATGCCATACACCAGGGACATGAACAGCTACTATAATCATTTACTAAATTGAATCAGGCTAATCTCCTGGCGTCCCAGTAGTTGGGTGACCTTATGCACCCTTGGCCCTCAAATGAGCACTATAGCGCCTTTGTTAATTCGTTAACCTGGAGCACCCGGGGTTCCCCTAAGAGCACTTAGCACTTACATTTGTTTTAAATAAACATGATGGGCCACTACATTTAATGAATACATGCAACCCTTATGGTAGTGTAACCAGTGGCTCCCTAGAGCACACTGCAGTGCAAGGGTAAACAGGGCTAAATTACTTACAGTAAGTTTTGCCTGGGACAAGGTCATCAAGCGTAACTTTACAAATGAACTGTGTCCTACGCTGTGTACCCCCATCCACAAACTTTGAGCAGTTGCCCATCTTCTGCTGATCAAGGTTGTTAATTCCATATCTTACCACAACAACTTCTGTTTGACTTAACTGACTCCAGGTTATAACCATCTGTTGTGGTGTTACTGTTGCAAAAACCAAAAATTGTTATGAAATTTGTATTGCCTAAAGACTGATTTTTAAGGTCAACTAAATAGAAGTGAGTTAAAACATTAGCAATAATTAGAGCCCTTTTTAGAAACAGTTAGAAATTGTGGTAGTAATCATGATAAATGAATGGTTGAATGTAATTAAAACAAATTATGTATTACAAATATCTTTCACTTTACATTTTTTTTCTAACACCTGTAAGATCAGGGTTTCTTCAGACATTTTTATCGGAGAGACAGACCCCTTTTAGGGCAGCTCACTTGAAATGTTTAGGGATGAGGTGGGGCGGGCGCTGGTTGAACTATGTAATTTCTATTTAAATTATATATTTTTTAATTTTGTCCTGAAGAACCTCTAACAACATAGTCAAGTGATCAGAAATGCAAATTGGTGGTGGATTAACCCATAGAGATGTATACATACCCCTGCATTTTAGCTATCTTAGTATCTTATGTGTAAAGTAGGTTATTTTTAAAAATATACTTACAGCCATAGGAGATATGAATCTGATCAGGCCGGACAAGTAATATGTCAGGATATGAATAGGTATAGGGAATAAATGACAGCACCAGTGACACGCCAACCAAGTTCTTTAAACATGTCATTCTGAAGCTTAAGAATAAAAGTGATATTCTTGAAAAAACAATGGTATTTATTAAGACACTATCAGGACTTACATTTACGATGTAATTTGTTTAACATTATTTCAACCCAAATCTAAAATCTAGCAATCAAGGATTTTCAACAGAAAGTGATATAAGCAGATAAAACTTGATCAAGACAGTACTGTCCTGCATACAAATCAGTGGTGTATGCAGGGGGAGGGGCTAGGGCATAAATAGACACATCTTCCTCAAATATATATATATATATATATATATATATATATATATATATATATATATATATATATATATATATATATATATAAAGCAAAGTGTTCGGGTGCCCGATAGGGCACTTCCCGGCGCCGCAGGGGCGCCAAATTTGGCACGATGGTGGCTTGGGGCGATAGAACACGAGGGTTGGTGACGGTTGGCCGAAAAGTCCACGGAGAGGGGGTCAAAACTGACCTCAACTGACCGGCGCCTTTTATGGGCTATATTACGAAATAAATTTCCTCCGACGACCACCCTTGAAATCTTGTGAGGTGGTAGGAGAACGCCTTGGGGTGTCACAAAAACTCGGCATATCTGGGAAAACTTCGTAAAGGGGTCAAAACTGACCAGTTGTATTTCCCTATATAATCTTTGTATTTTATGGGAAAAACAGAGGGTCATTTCAACGCGGATTTTAGGGTACTTAAACTCAGTATATCTGGCTAATTTTTTGCACTCAAAAAGTCGGGTCCACTCAAAGCCCTTGACGAGGGCTAAAAAGTGACCGCAAGTGAAATTCTCTTTATATGAGCTCTATTAAGAAAAAAAATTTCATTTCCTCAGACGACCCCCCTTGAAATTTTGTGAGGTGGTAGGAGAATACCTTGGGGTGTCACAAAAAACTGTCCGGGAAAAATCGGGAAATGGGTCAAAACTGACCAGTCGTATTTCCCTATATAAACTTTGTATTTTATGGGGAAAACAGGGTAATTTCTACACCAATTTTAGGGTTCTTACTCTTTGTATAACTGGCTAATATTTTGCATACACCTCTATAGATGACTGGGCCGTATGGAAAAACTGTTGGTCAGCATCAAAGCACTCGAAGAGGGCTAAAAATGACTGCGAGTGAAATTCTCATTATACGAGATTTAGTCATTTGGTCTATGAACAGGGGAGATCACTTTTTAATGTAACAATTTTTTAATATTTTGTATATTCTTTTTATGAAAAAACAAAAATCATAAAGTATAGCATTGTTTTAAATGGATATTTTGTTATAAATTAAGTGTTGTATTATATTGAAATTGTAAAATTAATTGCAAAAATAATTTAATATAATATTTGATTTATAATACATTTATATATACATATATATACATATATATACATATATAGACATATATATGCATATATATGCATATATATACATATATACACATATATATATACATATATATACATATATATGTATAAATACATATAAATATATATATATAAAGTTATATCTCTATAAAAACAAAGTGGGAATTGTCATGTTGTTCCTCACACCAATAAGATCAAGTATTTTCATGAAAGTTTCAAGTTTATTGGTCTTGCCAAAGGGCGTTATTCAATCTAAATCTAATGGGAAAACTATAGCGATCTCAATACTCGTGTTGAAAGTGGCAGAAAACTGATCTACTGACCGCAGTCTTATATAAACTTAACATAAACTTAACATATTAATTAGCACACTCGACTTTAATTATATTTCACCGGTTGAATATACTATAGTTTACAGTAACTAAAGTTTACAAAACTCTACTAACATAACCGGATACTACTAATCTATGCTTCAATAAAAAAGAATTTAAAATGTCATTTGTAATTTAATGTTATCATGAAAAGAATCTATATATTTTCTTTCCTCTTCGACTGCAGCAACCTGCGACGAGTACGCTAGAGTGAGTATATGAAAGTTGTGGGGTTTGCTGGGGGTTCAGTATCACCATAAAAAGTTAAGAACCACTGATCTAGAATCTAGATTCTACATTGGACAAATTAACGCACCCAAAGCCCAAAATGATAGACCTTGTAGTAGATCTAGTTAATCTAGTATTACTAGTTAAAAAAGCAGATAACATATCTAATATATAAAGCTGTGGCTCTGTCTGTCTGTCTGCATGCATGCATGCACGTATGTACGTATGTATGTATGTATGTAGTGGACACATGCATATAGTAAAATACTTTACGTGACGCCAGTGTAATATTCTTAAAGAAAGGGTTTATTGACTAAATTAGCGATTACAAAAATTAATATAGAAGGTTTTGTAAAGCAAGTTTCATTTTTTAAACTCATCATTTTAATTAGCTTCATGTGGAAATAGCGTAAATTACTACTTCGGGTCAACAGAAATAACTCAAATTTGACAGAAGGAAGAGAATTAGATCTACAAATTTGATATAATACTTATATATGAAATTTCATCAACCTAGCTGTAATGGTACTCAAGTCATCGTGCTCACAGACAAACATACACACACACACTGACAGGACTGCAAAGCCCAGTTTTTCTGACTTAATTATGAGTAAAACGCTGAAATTGTTATTAATCTGGATTTAGAATTCTTGTCTGATTAAGATAAGTCCCCTATACTTCGTGTATGATAGAATACTAAGAAGTAAAACAGTGAAAACTGTTAAAAATTTCATATGATTTTTGTGCACGATTACAATACTTCCTCTGTATTGACTTAGTCCTCTTTGTTGCTCCTTATGGAACATAGGGCCTCAAATCATTTCCTTCCATTTCATCCGATCCCCGGCTATTAATTTTCAAGAAGACTCCGCCTCCAGGTCTGTCTTAGGCGCCCTCTCTTCCGCTTTCCCTGGGGGTTTCACTCAAGCGCTTGGCATGTAACATTTGGATGAGCCTTTCGTAGCATGGGTCCCACCCAGTGCCATTTCCTCCTTCTTATTTGCACAGCCATAGGCTCCTGTCTCTCTTTTTTTAGCTTTTCTCCATAAGTATGTTCGGCACTTTGTCCTGCCATCTCATTTTCAATTTCTGTCTAAGGCATCTGTTCATGTAGGTCAGTATCTTTACTGTGCTTGCTTTAGAGACTTTACATGTCTCTGCTCCATACAGCAGAATTGCCTTGACATTTGAGTTAAATATCCTAATTTTTGGGGAAATGGAGAAGGCAGAACTTTTCCATATGGGTCGCAGAACTGTGAAAGCGCAGCGTGCTCTATTAATTCTAGCACGTATGTCCTCCTCTGTGCCTCCCATTTTGCTGATCTTGCTGCCAATGTAGACAAACTCTTCCACATCATTTACCTGTCTTCCATCTATTGCCACAGGGGCATCCTGGTTATTGTATACGAGAAAGTAAAAAGTGTAGAAATTACTTTCTTTAGTCCAATTACTTTCCTTGATAGATCACCAAAACAAATTACTTCCCTTAGACATTGACCCATTCGGGGGGAGTGGGGAGACTTTTTATTTATTTTGATGTTGGAAATAACATAATTATATAATTAGCATGGATTGATAAAGTGAAATGGGTACATAAAACAGGGGTGTTTTATATACTATTTTTTACCTTTATATACACTGAATGTACTGTTTACTAATTATTATGCTTAATCAGTGACAATTTAGAAGCCGTTCCTAAATATCCTCTAAGTCAACTTTCTTCGGGGGGGGGGGGGGGGCGGACATTGTTAAAGTATATATTTTCTGTACAAATTTAATTTCATTGGGGGGGGGGGGGGGGGGGCAAGCTTAAGTTTCAGTTTTGCATTTTTGTGTGCGTTTGTAATTGTGTTTGCATTGTGTTTGTGTTGGCATTGTGTTTGTTTTTAGTTTTGCATTTGTGTGTGCTTTTGTAATTGCGTTTGTGTGTGCTTTTGTAATTGCGTTTGTGTGTGCTTTTGTAATTGCCTTTGTGTTTATGTTTGTATTTGCATTTTGTGTCATGTATGCACTTGTTTTTGTGTTTTGGTTAGTTGTGGTTAAGGTTAATTTGAAAAGTACTATATTTCATAAACCCAAGCAATGCTGGATATATGCTGCTTAATAAAGTCATGGTCCTTAACAGATAGGTCCAGTGCAGGGCCTGCCAGGGACGGCTAGTAAATTATAAAATACGAGCCGACCCGCTGCGTATCATACGCCGCTATTTAGTTGTTTTTTTTCTTCTACTTTTCAGTAATTTATAATTTGTGAATTCGACAGTACCAATGCTGCCATTGAAAATATTTGCTTAAAAACACTACCCCCCCCCCCCCCCCCCCCCCCACGTGAAAGCAGCCTCCTCTTAGTTACCTCCTCTAAGTTTAAAATCGTTTCTAACTAAATTATCTGCCCCTAATAGCCGTCACCAAACCCGTCTCTGTGATTGTAAAATGTAAACAGAGTGAACACAACTCACCAGACAATGTGGGGGCGGGGTGGGGGTGGTTGTGATATTGATATAGAGAGGAAGAGAGGGGACTGTAAGGCGAGGTTGCAGCTTGTTTTCTAACGGCTCGAAGAAGAGAATTATATATAGGATCTATAGATAAATCCTTAATCTTATCTATTGCCATTCTAAGCCTAAGCCAAGGCCTAATCACTAGCCACTACTAGATCTAGATAGATTCTAGATCTAGATTAGATTTGTCTAGATTAGTTCTAATCATTGTTGTTGTGCAATATCAATAGGTCTTTCTAAAGCAGTGGTCTAGATCTAGAGCTCTAGATTCTAGATCCTTGTAAATGTAGATTCTCTAGACTTGAAGTCTTAAATAATGGAGGCGAGCGAGTTGACGAGATTCCTTCCATAATGTTGTTGTCATGGAATAAAAACGTGTTTTTTTAGATTTAGACCGTAAAAAAAATAAAAAATAAAAACTTAAGCCTAAAATTAATTTAGAAATTTTATATTCTTAGAATAAATGCTATAAAAGTTGCAAATCCAGAGAACTTGAAAATAATTTGTTGAGTTTAAGGCTACATTTCTATTTATTTTCATCAAGCCTAAGTTATAACCGGATGTTTCACTTTCGTAAGACAAATATTGATTGGCTGTACAGTAACTTAGTGATCGATAACTATTTGTTTACAAAACTTTGCAGATCAAGTTTTTAAATAACAATGCAAATTTAAAACCCCATTACCTAGTTTTCTATTTTTAGCTTACAATGTGTACAATAAAATCTATGGCAGCCTATCCAATAGCAGGATGCCATGTTTATGTCGCCATTACACGTGGAAACCAAATTGTTTTTGCTTTTTTTTTAATTTTTATTTAGTTACCGAAAATATTATAAACATCAAATACATCCAATCTTTAGTAAAGTCCGAAAAAAACCAGACAGGCAGGATTTTATAACCATATTAATTGTAAATACGCTGTGCATGATTTTTTAATGAATTTATACACCTCTCAAATACCTTTGAGACTTTTCTCGCTGGTGTCCATTAAATAAATTCTTACCGTTATTTCATTTCGCACTACACTCTACACAAATTAGAATCTAGTTACCTAAGCATTCAGACTCAAAACGCACGATAGATTTAGATCTAGATATCTATTAATCTATTATCTAGGCCTACATCTAGATTCTGGTTTGATTAATTTCTAAGACATCTAAGAAGACTAAATTTAGTAAATAATACTCTCATAATAGTAAATATATAGTAGGCCTACTAGTAGTACTGGATCTAGATCTAGATCTAGATCATCTAGATAAATAAAAAAGTAAGATCAGTTCGAGAGGAAGTTAGATCTAATAATAGAAGGGGAATACCCCTTGGCATGTGATTGCCTTCCGGCCTACGGATTGGACAAAAATAGGTCAATGGCCATACAGACGGAATCTGTCTTGATTTTGATTACTTCAATACTGATTACTGAATCAATACCCAATCAATAATAATAAAATATTTATATTCTAGTTCTAGATTAGAGGTCTAGATCTAGATTATATAATCTATAGTATTTTATCAATAAAATTTAGAGGCTAGTAGTTATCTAGGCCTAGGTCTTATATCATATAAATGATAATAGGGCTAAATACTACTTAAATAGGGCCTATACTATAGTTACTATAGCCTATAGTTAGTATAGGGCACTATGTGACTATACTATAGCCAGGCCTAATAATATTAAATATAAATAATAAATAGGCCTAGATCTATAATTTTAATTTATAATTTTATAATTATTATCTCAATATGATCATACTAGTCTAATCTCAATCTTTTGAATCTTATCAATCAATCCTCTTGACAGATCTAGATTTTTATTTAGCATTAGCTGTCTGTCTTCAGTTCAGTCTGTAGTTAGATCTAGACCAGTTCACTGGGACAAAAACACAACAAACATGCACTTCTTCAAGTGTTTAATGCTAAATGTTTTATTATTATGGAGCAAGAGTTATGCAATTGTTTGGTATGAGCCTCAACAAACACACATAGCTGTGGGAGGTACGTTTTTTTTTTTTTTAAAATTGCTCAATTTTAATAGAACTATTGTTTGTTTTCTATTTATTTAATATTTAATAACATTAGAATTAGTTATAATAATAAATTAATATTCGGCCTAATAATACAGGGCCTACTTAGTTATAAGTCAAGGCTATTTCCACAATTGACAACATTAATCATTGATTACATCACGTTCTCCGGCATCCCTTCAGGGGGCAATTTGGCGCCCCTGGCTCACCTGTTAACACTAAGGTGGCTACGTTCATTTTAAAGAGTGTGATATACTATTACTATGGATAAGATGGGGTAATATAGTCGTTCATTAAATCCAATTAGGTGCAATCACCAGTGCCCAAGCAGGGTGTGATTTGGCACCCTGAGTGATCCTGTTTGCACTATGGTACTTACGTAAGCAGAGTTTCTTCCAGGCATCTCAAGTCTACCGCCCCCCGTTTGATATGGAATTTATATAGAAAACATACTTTTATCAGTGTCCGCCCCCTGGAAAATGTTGACCCATCCCCCCCCTACAAAAATATCAATTGTTCCCCCCCCCCCCCCCCCCCCAGAGAAAAAAGTCTGGAAGAAACACTGTACGTTAGTCATAAGGAGAACCCTGCAATATTGACTCTGAGGCACAAACTATATAATGATTAAACTGAGCTAGAAAACAAGGTCATGCCCCAAAGAACTTAGGGTTGGGTAACACATTGATGAAACCCTCTTAATATTATCTGGTTAAACTTTCTTCTGAGGCAGCAGCAATGTGTTGCACGCTAGTATATATATATATATATATATATATATATATATATATATATATATATATATATATATATATATATATAATTGTATATATACACATATATATATATATATATATATATATGTGTGTGTATATTTATATATATATATATGTGTGTGTATATTTATATATATATATATATGGTTCCATGACAAATGATCTCAGGACAAAATATCTCAGACAAAATATCTTACGGACAAATGATCTCAGGAAAAATGATCTCAAGGACAAATGATCTTATGGACAAAAAATACCAGGACAAAATATATCAGGACAAATGATATGATGGACAAATGATATGATGGACAAACTATCTCAGACAAAATATCTCACAGCAAAATTTTAATAGAGGCGAGCTCTTCTTTTCTGCATTTTTACTATGTTCAGTTTTTACTATTGGTACTTTGTGTTCAACACCTGTGTTAAAATGTGCGCAACAGTCACTAAATAATGCCTGCCTTTACTATTTTAGCATTTATCCTTCTGAAATTAAAATTGAGCTGAAGTAAATTAAAATATGTAGATATTTTTAGAATTTAAAATTTTAAAATAAAAGCCCAACAGAGCTACATTGTTTACTAATTATTATTTAACTCTTTTTAGGTACCATAAATAGAATTTCAAATAGATTTGATAATAAAAATTAGTTAAAGTTGATTCGTTTATTAATTGTTATGGTCAGTTTAAATGAGAATGAATTTAAGTTTAGATGAAGATTGGGTAAGCATTTTTAAATTTTGAAATAATTAAAAATACACTTGGTTAATGATACTGCACCGTTAAGATGTTTAAGTTTTAAAAAACAAATTTTAGTGTTGCAAAGTATGGCTATTATACTGGGTGTATTTCCAAATTGTGTTAATTTTTCAAGTTAATGTGCACAATAGCTATAGTAGATTGGAGTTTGTGTTGGATAAGTTTTAAACTAGGTCAAATAAACTATTAGTAACCTGCTCTAAATTATTTTATGCATTTAGTAAGTTTAATTTGTGTTAAGACTTTAAGTCTATGTCTATATAGGTGCTATGTTTTAGATTTACACATTCAGCATATGTTAAATTCTGTTAAAATCTGTATAGGTGATATGTTTAAGATTAGGGTTCATTTAATTCAAACAGGTATTATAGTTAAGTAGGAAGTCCATAATTGACATCTTAGTCTTAAAGTAATTTTGTGGCTGTGTGTGACAAGTGTAAAGGGAAGAGGGAATAAGATTGTGTCAGGAGATTGACATTACCAACTTGTTAATTATTTCCTTCCAGTCAGTGCCAACTCCATCCAACCCGTAATTATCTCCCCATGTCAATTGCCCACTTCCAATGACCCACCGTTACAGGAATGGATATAGGTATAGGTATAGTTACAGGTATAGGTAAGGGATAGGAACAGCGACAGGTAAAAGAAAATCGGATAGGGAAATAAATTGGGGAATCTAGGGAAACTATTGGGATAAAGATATAGAAATTTGAAATGAGATAGGGGCAGAAAGAGAAACAGACAAGGATGGGATAAGGATAGCTACAGGTATAGATAAATGGTCATCCATTTATGACGTTCACAAAAATTTCGGATTTTAGACACCCCCATTGTGGACGTCAAAAAAAAATTTATAGACCTCTCAAAACTTACTACCAATTTTCTATCTCAGTAACATGTATTGTGTACCTATTTACTGATACGGTTTTATTATTTTCGATAATGTTTATTAGGCATAAATATTAAAAGTAGAATGTAGCCTGTGGAGTGAAAAATTAGTAGGTTTTATTTTTAAACGTCAAAATATAAATATTTTTTTTACATTTCAAGGATTTTCCTCATTACCAACCTAATACGCATGCAAAGTATTCAACCCTATGTGTGTGTGTGTGTGGGGGGGGGGGGTACTCGTTACACAGTATTATTTTCTGTACTTGTTGGATGTATTTTAATGATTAATATTAGCATTTATGAGATAAAAATCTCGCAAGGCCTCCTTGGATTTATGGATTCTATTCTGTTTACTCAATCGCTGGCTTTCCAAAGAGGTGCAGTCCACACGTGTCCACAAAGGTTGGTTTCCCCTTAAGTGAAAGCTATAGCGAAAATGAAATGAGATAGGGAATAGATCAGGAAATTGATAGGGATAACTATAGGGTAAATGAATTAGGATAGGGACAAAGATACAGAAAAAGCTATGTTTAAGATCATGATAGCAATAAAAATAGGTATAAGGAAAGGGATATGGATAGTGATATGAATAATTATAGGGATCGTTGTAAGGTTGGGCATTGGGATAAGGATATGTTTCTGCTTATAATTGTATTTGAGGCTGTGGTTAGGGTTAATGTAATGTATATTTTCTTTAGCATCCATATTTGAAAATAGACATTTAATTGAAAATTGTATATATCATACCCAAAACCAGGGCAGTACCAGGTGTATGGTGCTATTATTATATACATTACACAATCCTGAGATAATTTATCACATTTAAACTCTATCATGGTTAGTGCCATTTAATCATGATAAAATAATGACTAAGTGCAGTTATAAAATGTTTATCAAATACTTGACCTGTATAGCTTTCACCTGTACAAAATCAAATTATCAGATAAATGCTGAACTTAAAATCAGCTGACTTAATCTTATCTGAATATATTTTTTTATAGATGGAAGAGGAAAGTTGAATGGCAGTAAATGGTGACCAAATTAGTATCTATACTATAATTAAAGTGGCTTGGTAGATTTTCAGTTAGAGGGCACTTTGTCTTTGTCTTGGCTGTATTAAGTGCACTTCACTTTTTTTCATACAATTCTTAAGTTTGTTACCCATCAGAGACATAATAATGCAGTAGATTTAGTTCAATACAATACAGAACATTAAAAATCTATACTATGTAGCTGAAAGGAATGTGTGGGCAGAATATGTGCACTAATGAACCTATCAAAGTAAAGAAAAAGCTCTGTCTTGTTTGACATAGTCTTATTACTATTAATTCTGTGTATAAAAGAATAATGGGGGAAACTATAAAATGTAATTTTTATCCCAAGTAGGCCCCATTCAAAGGTAGAATTTAGAAGTCAAGCATTTTCAACAATTTGCAAGCAATTTTATAAATGCAGGCCAATGTTTTATACGAGATAACCCGTGGCATTTCATATGCCGCTATTTAGTTGTTTTATTTTCTAGTCTACTTTTCAGAAATTCATAATTTGTGAATTCGACAGTACCAATGCTGCCACTGAAAATATTTGCTTTAAAACACTATCAGTAGGTCGTTAAGGACGATACCCCCCCCCCCCTCCTTTCCCCCAACCCCTACCCTACACCTCCCCCTCCCTGTGAAAGCAGCCTCCTCTTAGTTACCTGCCCTAAGTTTAAAATCATTTCAAACTAAATTATCTGCCCCTAATAGCCATCACTAAACCCGCCTCTACAATTGTAAACATTTAGCATGAACCACAGCTAACCAGACCATGTGGGGGTGGGTGTGGTAGGGATATGCCTAGAGAGGAAGAGAGGGGGCTGCTAGCCGCGCTTACAGCTTGGTGTTTTCTATGATCTCCATGAAGGGAATTATATATATAGAAGATAAGGCCATGGGGAGTTTTTGGTCATTATAATTTTCCTGTGGGTTGGAGAATGAACACTATGCTTGAACGGGAATTAGATCAGACAGTACCCAATCAAATTCATGTGTTGTTAACAAGCATCCTACAATTTACTTTTATATTGAATTACTGTATATTTAGTATTGATAACAAGGATGAGGGGGTGGGGTGAGTTATTTGTAGATGTTCTAGTAGGGCCTACTAATTTTTTAAAATTTTAACAGATACTCCTGATCAGATGGTCATCGTATGGAGCACATTCAATGATACTGGAGATACTACTGTTATGTATGGTCAAGGTGGAAAATTGTCATTAGAGGCCACAGGGACAAGGACTAAATTTATTGATGGTGGACCAGAACAGAGAACACAGTTCATTAACAAAGTCGTCCTTACAGGCCTTATACCTGACACAGAATACTGTGAGTAGTTGAGTTACATAGCTTCTATAACTAAAACTGATTACATTTTAAAACTACATTAAAAGCAAGCTAATCAAGCAAATCTAATATTATTACAAGCTTTTTCTTAGGCCACAATGGTTGTTAAATGTGGCCAAATCTTGTAAGAAATAAACTGGTTTTATAAAGTGTAGGCCTAATTACTTTAAAAATGAGCTGTGTCTGTTGGTATAAACTGCAAACTTGTACTTGTAGGTCATATTTGATGTTTCTGGGACCATACGCAGTTTCTTACAGGCATCTCTCTGGGGGGGGGGGCCTATTCCCCCCCCCCCCCCGGAGAAAAAAGTCTGGAAGAAACTTTGACCATATGATATGACAGGGGACCAACTTTTAATTTTCCAAGTTTATATTGTTTCATCCTGTTGTGGTCTGTATGAGAATTATGAGTTAGTCCTGTCCTCTTTTCTATAAGTTGGACTACTTCTTATAATTCTTTGTATATTTCTTTAGGGCGTAGTGAAATTTCTGGCTGTTTTGACTTCCAAATTTTTTCAAGCTGGTCAGCAAACTTATTTCCATGTATCTTCTTCTTCTTCGTTCTTAATTATTAGTGTTGAAGGGGATCGAGATTTATCTGCCAGTGCGTTTGAACTCGTGACTTTGTTTGAATTTATCAACCATGAGCTTTTTGCCGACTCGACCATGCCTCCAACACAATTAAGCGTTACGTGTCAACTGGTTATGCGCCATTGAGGCCATTGACTCCGATTTCAGCCTGCTTTTCTTTTTGGATTTGCTTCCATAGCCTTTGTCCAACCAAGAACAAACTACAAGGCAGCAGTTGTTTGATTTTGGAGTTGTCTCTCCTAGAAGAGTGGCTGTCCCCAGCTAACGAGCCTCATCTGTCCGAGGGTTCGAAGTCTAGACCTTTTCGGTTTAGCAACCATGAGCTTTACCGACTCGACCACGCCGACCCCTATGTTATTCTCTGAACAGTAATAATTCATCAAGAAATAAAGTGTTGTAATCTCAAACCTTCAGCTAGAGTGTGATTCTTTATATGAATTGAATTTTGGTGCCAAAATGAGTTGTCCACAGCTTAGTGGCTAAATTTTAGGCTTGGATGGATACGTACACGACAAGTGTATGTATTTCGGTGATACACATCTGTCACATTAGTATTGAAAAATTAATTTACATACTACTGTATTAAATTACAAAAAGTGGTAACTTGATCATTCTGATAAGGTGGTGGTCACATTTGATGTTAACAAATTTGAGAGAAGACTAGAGAAACTATTACACTACAGAGCAGATAATTCTCATGTTGAGTTAGATCAAATATAAATCAAGTATTACACATTTTATCATAAAAACTAAAATTTAAAAAAAAAAAAATATTTGTTACTCCAGAAATCTCATAAATACAAACGATTTGTCACCAATATTTATGCAGAGATTCCTCAAGATATGAGTTTAATTTGTTCCGTAACTTGTGTGTCAAAATGCACTTGTGTGTCAAAATGCTTGTATCTCAACATTAATCCGTTCCAGACACCAAAATATCACCCCAGATATTTTTTATACTTGTTTTTTAAAATAAGAAAAGTATATTTATACATCAGAAATATTGTATAATAGCTTAGTATAGGATAATGCAAGGAAATAAACTGGTTTTATAAGTGTATTACTTTGAAAATCAGCTGACTTGAGCTTACAGAAATTACTGGTGGAGGCGTAGGCCCAGTAAGTTCACTTACTCACTGTTAAGATCTTCTGGTCTCTTTATTCACTTACTCATTACACTCTTAACGTGACATTCATCACTTAACAAAGAGCAACTTAAGTAATTGTCAAATAGCTCTGATACTCAATCAGTTGCTACTTTTTTGGGGTGTTTCTTTTTAACGGTTACTCAAATTTTGCTTGTTGTCAGAGCAAATTTTAGCTAAAATTTTATCTAAAAACTCTTGTATGTTAAACACTCATACATTGAGATACCCTTGTACTATTATAATACAAAATATTCATTTTCTTATTTTTTTATATCATTTAAAAGTTTGATGTAATAAACTTGCATAATATTAGTTTTTAGCGCAATTTCCATTCTGGAGAATTGCGTTTATTAACTCGTCAAGGATAGATGTCCGAGCTTTAAGTCGTATCTCCTCCTCAACGAAGCAATATCGAGGACTAGTTCCAAAAGCAAATATGTTAAGCAAGTTCCGAGGATGATTGTGGGCCAAAAAAATTCCTGGATTTCCTTCCTGGATTTCCCGGAAAAGCCAAAAAACCTCGAAAAAATGCAGTTTTTGGCCCATATCTCGACAACCAGACCACTTAGCGACTTGAAACATTTACCAATCGATTCCTGCCATAATTTAGAACAATATTGCCGAAGAAAGTTTTCAAAAATATCCTTTCGTTCGGTCACAAATTTTTTTTAAAAATTACATTATACATAATACATTACAGTACTATATAGCAAAGAAGGCAGTGGAAGGCGAGAGAGGACGAGGGTAAATCACGTGACCTGGCTGGCTTAGCAGCGAACTGCGCAAACCGCAGGCGAAGGAGGAGGAGCTAGGCCTAATCATTTTTCACATTTTTTAAAAACAAACTCGATCACTATCTATTTTTAGACTATTATTTCACCTCAAGGTTCTTTGGCCAAACAAACATGTCTTCCATGGAAGGTTTCATTCCTGATAGCCCTGGATAGATAATGTTTTAAAATTATAATTACTTTAGTTATTGGGTTATGGATAACAAGGAAATTGCGCTTAAATTGTCACTAGACTTTTTATTAACTTGTTTAGATTAATGAAGCTTGATAATTTATATTTTTTAGCTAATTAACGTTAATTTTTTTTTTAATAACAAAACATAAAACAACATTTTTTCCACTTCCTCTAATTTACATATGAGCAAATAAATCTTTACACAAAACACTAGTATACTTACTGATCATATAAACCACACTATACTGATAGGTACTGATATACGTGTGATTTAGTGGTATTTTCATGCGGAAATAAAACACATGAAGTTAATTTTATAATTTTTTTTTGTTAAATGCATTTTTAAACAAAAATTAATCCCTTTAAATTATGCATTTTCAAAATTATGGATACCTCAATTAAAAAATGTTGTGTTCTATGCCTAATTATACTTCAGTGAGTCATAAACATTCCCATAAGTAAATAATTTTCTTTTCCACTAACATGGGCAACACAAACAAATGTATTGAAAAAAAATATTCTCCAAGCAATTGTTTGAATAGAAACTAATAAATTAAAAGTTGCAATATATTTTTCAGTCATGTTATTGAACATTGTAAAGGAGATTTTAATGAAATATAAGTTTCTTGTATATTTTCACTGAGCTTTATTTTTCCAGCTTATGTAGTTGGGAGTAAAACATATGGATGGTCAGACTTATTTTCTTTTCGTACATGGCCTCTTGGAGAAAACTGGAGCCCTAGTCTGGCTATATTTGGTGACATGGGAAATGAAAATGCTCAGTCCTTACCTAGAATGCAAGTAGATGCTCTTACAGGGATGTATGATGCAATTCTGCATGTTGGTGTGTATTTTGTTTTACTAAAAATAATTTCCCCAAAAAGTGGAGACATTTTTTTTTATTTCAATGCTAAAATTTGATTGAATAAATCCAGTTGCAAGTTGAGAGAGTAATAAGTAAAGCAAGTCATTGAACATTAAATGAAAATAAAAAATTCCATTATCTTTTTAAGAAAGGAGTGTTACTTTATGATGGATTAAAAATTGTATTTTACCAACTGATGGACCTCATGTACCATTAATTTAAAGATTGTATGAGACATTTTCAGCAATCACATGTTCAATTTCAACAAATTAATATATAATATTAAACAATGCATTTAGTAAAGCAGTTTTTAAATATTCAGCTAATAATGACTTATTGAATATTATTATTAAGGGTAGAAATTGTTTTCAAATTAATTTTTCCCTACTCCAGGTGATTTTGCTTACGATATGGACGTGGTAAGTTTTAAAAACATACCATTTTAATTATCGTAGTTGTTTAGGCCCCTACACTAAAATAAATTCAATATGCCTGGACTGTTTAGCTTAACAGGATATCAGGCCTACTAGAAGTAAATCTCTAAAATTATAGATTATATGTTTTAATACTTTGTAGGACAACGCGAGAGTTGGAGATGAATTTATGAGACAGATTGAGCCACTAGCATCCAAGCTACCATACATGACATGTCCTGGCAACCATGAGCAGGCTTAGTAAGTAGTAAATATAAATACACAAACCAAACCCCCATGTTTAGTAAGGAAAAGTACTTTATGACACACATTTGAAAACTGGAAGTGTTAAGAGGATTTCTTTGAGACAACATTATCATTTTTAATTCTTAGAAGTAGGCCTTTAATGAAAGAAGTAATCAAACAAAAATTTACAACAATTTTTTGACCAATCTAACAATGACAAACGCTCAAGTCTTTTAGCTATTTTTAATTAATACTTTCCTATTTGTTGCACTGTATAATGATTAATTATAAAGACCAGATGAATAGTGAAAAATGTTTACAGAGAAAAACATGCAATAAAAAATGTTAGTCATGTAAAATGTTACATATTTTTACTTTAATAGTTGTGTACTTTTTATAATGGTTGCAAATAATTACAGATTTAAAACTACACCTCCCCCTCCCCATTTTCAAATGCCTGAAAGAATAATTGTCAACCTCCTTGCTCAACAGTTTTCTTAACCATCTGATAATAGTAATGTTTTTTTTTACAGTAGTCTATATAAATAAAAGACCAAAGTTGTGTCGTACAGGTGGGTGAGCGGCTGGTCATTGTCCATTAAAGAAATCTAAACGCGTGCACGAGAAAAGCATTGAGAAAGCTATAGGTTTAAGATTGGGTTAGGGATAGAGGTAGGGATATGGATGGGAAATGGGTTATGTTTTTACTTGTGTTGTGTTTATGGTTAGAGACTGAGTTAGGGTTATGTATATTTTCTTAAGCCTCCATATTTGCATATAGACATTTAGTTGACCATTTTATATATTCCCCATAATCCCCAAGTACATGCTGCTAGTCTATCTATCTATCTTCTATATATAATAAAAGCAATATATGTGTGTTTGTTTGTCTGTCCTGTATGCATTACTACACCTTTTATCCAATCTTGGGAAGTTGTCAAGAATACTCCAGGGGAGGTTTCTGCGAAAAAAAATTTCAAATTCACAAGGGTGATGCCGTAGTAGGGCGCGATTTGTTTTTTCTCTATATACGGCAGTGGCGTAGTGAGGAGGGGGGTGCGGACTGCACCGGGTGACACAAGGGTGGTGGGGGGGGGGGGGGGGGGTGACACCATGAGGTAAACCTGCTAATGATAAAGAAAACATGCTACATCAAGCTGTATTTATAACCAACTATAGATAAAAAAATCGTTAGTATTATATCTGAGCACAGTTTAAAGCAATTGGGGTGGGGTGGGTAGCTTTTTAAAGTAATAATTTTTTAAATACTTTTTTTACAATTTAAAAGAAAAACAAAAATCACAAAGTATAGCATTCGTTTAAATAAATATTACGTTATAAATTATATTGTGTATTGTACTGAAATTGTACAAATTAATAGCTAAAGTGAATTTAAAATAATATTTGATTTATACTTTTAAGGAAGCCTTTGCAGTTCTAAAAACCTTGTGAGTAATAAGTTTGCGACTACACCAATGCTAGCATGACATACAATTACTCAGACTGTTTAAACTTAGGCCCAAAGCACTACACATAACAGCCAATCACCAATTAATTAATCACGAGCCGATCCGCGGTGTATCATATGCCGCTATTTAGTTGTTTTATTTTCTACTTTTCAGTAATTTATAATTTGTGAATTCGACAGTACCAATGCTGCCACAGAAAATATTTGCTTTAAAACACTATCAGCAGGTCGTTAAGGACAATAATCCCCCCCCCCCCTCTGTGAAAGCAGCCTCCTCTTATTGACTTCCCCTAAGTTTAAAATCGTTTCAAACTAAATCAGAGGTCTCCAAACTTTTTAGCCCGAGGTCTTAGTTACCTCTCCTAAGTTTAAAATCATTACAAACTAAATCAGAGGTCTCCAAACTTTTCAACCGAGGGCCGCATTGACTATCAAATATCAGTTCGGGGGCCAGAGTTTCTAGCATGCATCTCTTTGGGGTGGCCGTAGCTTGGAGACCCCTGAACTAAATTATCTGCCCCTAATAGCCGTCACTAAACCCGGCTCTACGATTGTAAACATTTAGCGTGAACTACAGCTCACCAGACCATGAGGGTGTGGGGGTGGTAGGGATATGCCTAGAGAGGAAGAGACGGGGCTGCTAGGCTAGCTTACAGCTTGGTGTTTTCTATGGTATCCAAGAAGAGAATTATATATAAAAATTCTAATTTTCAAAAGTTTTTTTGAAAACCTAAGCAAAGCTAGGCAGTATGCCTAGTATATGTGTATATATATATCTATATATATATAGATATATTTATGGGGTTGGGGGGTGACACTCGACCTCGCTACGCCACTAATATATGGTATATAAAAATAAAAGTTGATTGCTGTTTGGCACCATTCATCCGATCGTCATCAAACTTCAGGGAGTTGATTAGAACACTCCAGGAGAGGTTTCTGTTTAAAAAAAAAATCTATTTTAATTTCACAAGGAAAGTGCCCTAAGATGGTGCGATTCTTCTCTGTATACAGTATATTGAGGGGGGGGGGGAAGGGGGGGTGAGCGGCCTCCGGCAGGATGCGATTTAGTGTCCCGGGTTATCCTGTGAGCTTTATGGTGCCTACGTTTGTTTTAAACATTGTGAAAGACTACACATAAGATTGGTTTTTAGAGTCGTTCACTAAACATAAACATACGTGTCTGCCGTTGCCCCGCAGGGTGCATTTAGGCGACCCAGGCTTTTTTAGGTGGTACTGTAGGAAACCTATGCCCCGATACATATGATCCAAGCGCAAGCAGTGTTTGCATTTAAATAACTCAGTATTTGTCTTTCTTAGCCACTGTTGTCAGCTATAGCATTTTGGGAAAAAAGACTGTAGCTAAAGTAAATGACAGTCAACAGGCAACTTTTATCATTATCTGTGTCACTTTTTTACTAGTGGCACAATATCCAATTGAGAGATAATTTTTTAAAATAGTTTCATCTAAAAAAATTAGTCATTAGTTGCAGAACTACTGTCATACTAACAAATTATAGTTTTACTGTATTTAGTATTTATTAGAAATCTTCTTTTAAAAGTATTAGGTGTTACAACTAACTTTTCCTACTGAAACCGATGGAAACCAGGGAAATTTAAACACAATTGATGATCAGCTTATATACATATATATATTAAGGGGTCATCGATTTATGATTTCCACATGGTAGGGGGGAGTTAAAAAAAATTGACATTTGTGGACGCGTGTGGGGGGGGGGGGGGGGGGGTGGGTTGGTCGGGTTCACATGTTGAACTTATGTCGAAGTATTAACATTTTGAAACAAACATAAAATTCATATCCTGCATGTAAAAAGTGAAATTAAGACGACATTGTACTTTTGATATCCGAAAGTCGAATTTTTTTGGACAATATAAATGAATGACCCCTTATATATACATATTATATAATTAAAAGCCTGATATATTTTTTTTGGGGGGGGGGGGGGGGGGGTAAATTTTCATTTGGGCTAACTCATCCACTGCAATTATTTGTAATCAACTAGGCCATACATAGATTTTTTTACAAATCAGTATCATGTTCATATTTGTAGTTTTTACTTATAAATTTAAATCATACTATCATAATATTTTTTTTAAATTTCAGCAATTTTTCAAACTATAAAGCCAGATTTTACATGCCAGGGGATTTAAATAAGCGAATGTATTATAGGTAAGTCTTTGTATATTTCAAGTAAATCAGAAGAACAGTGGGAATAGTCAGAAACTCTGTACATAATAGTAATACCGCAAGCCAGTAAATGCCTTTTCAGAATTGACACTCCATTGAACAGATGGATTAGTATTCATCTACTTCTTACACCTAAGTGTGGTTATAGATATCTGCTCTATTCCCAGCTGCTTTAACTTTCCACAATGCAATTCATGCTAAGAGGTTTGTAGGTGGTATAAAGTCATTTGCTCCACTTGACCCAGTCATCTCATATTCCTAATTAATCTACATCAGAATTTCCCAAGGTTGGCAATATTGCCTCTGTGGGTAGGTGCACGGGAATTTTCCAAAAAAGCAATAGAAACGGTGATTTCATTTGAGGGATGTTGGATGAAGCAAACATTTTGTGAAAGTCCCAAGAAGAAACTTACCTGTGCTGAAACAAAGAAGAATCATACAAGCTTGTGTTAAATTACACAAATTTGTTTACATATTAAAGAACCATATCTGTTTCTACAGATAGTTGATTATAAAAGCAAACTGTTTTAAAAATATCTATATATCTAGAGCATTTCTAAAACTTTACTTATGTATCTACTGTATTTATTAATATCCTCTGTAAAGAAAATAAGTTATTGAAATAACTTTTTTGATTATTATTAAACTTTATCAAAATAGTCTATGTGTACATATATACCAAAAAGACGTACATCAAATTTTTGAAATGGTGAATTATTTGAACATATTTAGATTTTTAAAAGTCTTTTCATAAAAAATAAAATTTTAAAAACAAAAGTATTTTAAAATTTTAAAAATATAATCTATTAGAACTGTTACCATTATGTGACTATAATCCTGTAAGTTTTTATTGAATTCGCTTCAACCATCTTAGAGTTATTTTGATTTTAAAAGTTACACAATTTACTGATGTCCCTCATATTTGTCAGTAATTTTTTTTTTCCAGTTTCACTATGGGACCTGTCAGATTCATTGCAGTATCTACTGAATTTATCTTCTTTCCTCAATATGGTCTGATTCCAATTGTTGAGCACTACAAATGGCTGGAGAATGAATTAGCTGTAAGTTCCTTAGAGTGATTATTACTATTGGACTAATCCAGCTTTGCCACATTTTTATATTAACATTATTAATTGAAATGCTGTGGATGAACTAAAAAGTTCAAACTGTTACAAGTAATCACTGAAAAAAACAATTTAAAAAAAAATAGTTTAAATGATTACATTTTAAAATTGTTTTTAAATTATCTAAAAAATTTACCATTTTAATGAATGAATGTTTTACAAAACATTTTCTGAAACATGTCTAAAGGAAGCCAATAAACCAGAGAACAGAGCCAAACAGCCATGGGTAATCACTTTTGGCCACCGTCCCATGTACTGTTCCAATGATGATAATGATGATTGCACTCACCATGAAAGTCTTGTAAGAATGTTTATTTACTAAAATTTAAAATCCAAGAGCTAGCTAGGTTTTACGTTAGTAAATATTTGTTTAGCTTAGGATGTATATTATCTAGATTATTTTTATATATCAAATATTTTCAAACTTTATACTCACAAATTACAAATATTAAATCTAATTGAAATTTTTAAAAAATAAATAATTATCTTTTCATCTTTTCATCATCTTCTTAAAATATTTTAATGAGAATTTTATTATAGCATTTTTCTTTCAAGATCCGAGTTGGAATCCCATTTCTTCACCTGCTGGGGTGGGAACCACTATTCTACAAATATGGTGTAGATGTTGCTTTATGGGCACATGAACATTCCTATGAGAGACTCTGGCCAGTATACAACAGGGAGGTAAGTACTATAGTGGATAATCAAGTTTGATTAAGATTGATCATCTCCCCTGTAAAGGCTGATAAAATTTTAAAATCAGCCAAAAAGTTCTTACTGTTACATTTGTAAGTCTATATTTAAAGGAACTTCTTTAAAAGTGGGCATGATTTCGGCTAAATTGTCATTAATTGTATCATAATTCAGTTCCATGGTAACATCGTTCCACTAACATAAACAGAATCATAACAACCGATTCTTGATGTAATTCTTTTTAGATAATGATTTCGCACAAGTTACTTGGGTAGAAGATCGACAGTAAGCTATGTTTTTTACACTAAACAAATGGTTGCATGTTTGACCAAAGAACTTGTATTTTGATTCATGGGTCGGCTCGTGATCATTAATAAACCCCAGCGATTATAGTCTCGGATGGTCTTTTTAAAAAATTTCAGATCTCCATATGCTATGTAATTAAGATAATTGTGGTAATAAAAACTGAATTGTTTGTTTTTGTCGGACGTATTTTTTTAGTAATTTCAGTAATTAAACAAAAATTGTTAAAAGCAAGGCAAGAACGATATAGTTTTTTTGCATGCTAAGGAGACATAAACAAACACTTAATAGGCTAGCATAAATTATAAAGATTGTACCGCACATGCTGCAGTAAAGTAAACAAGTTAATAAAAAGTCTAATGACAATTTAAGCGCAATTTCCTTAATTAATTTTTTGTGACCGAACGAAAGGATATTTTTGAAAACTTTCTTCAGCAATATTGTTCTAAATTATAGCAGGAATCGATTGGTAAATGTTTCAAGTCGCTAAGTGGTCTGGTTGTCGAGATATGGGCCAAAAACTGCATTTGTTCGAGGTTTTTTTGGCTTTTCCGGGAAATCCAGGAAGCAATTCCGGGAATTGTTTTGGCCCACAATCATCCTCGGAACTTGCTTAACATATTTGCTTTTGGAACTAGTCCTCGATATTGCTTCGTTGAGGAGGAGATACGACTTAAAGCTGCGGACACACATTCATCCATCCATCCATCCATCCAGAAATGACGCATTATTAAACGCAATTGCCAGTATGGAAATTGCGCAAAAAAAGCCATCCCAGCGCGTATGTTTTTAGATCAACAAAGAAAAGACAATTGTAATAAGAACGTCCATATCTCGGCAACCAGACCACTTAGCGACTTGAAACATTTACCAATCGATTCCTGCCATAATTTAGACCAATATTACCGAAGAAAGTTTTCAAAAATATCCTTTCGTTCGGCTCGCAAAAAAATTAATTAAGAACATTTAAACTGAGCATCGTGTAGGCCTAGGATGATATTTACTACTTTTTTAAACTGAGCATCTTGTAGGCCTACTCATTAAAATAAAACTATTTCTGTTGATATAGGTTAATATAGTTGTCCTTTTTTTTAACTTATTAATTCAAACGTTATTTTTGTACCATATTAATTTATTTATAATTTATATGAGAGTGATAGGGAGTTACAATTACAAGGTTTTGTTTCGCTAGGCCTAATCATTTTTTCACATTTAAAAAAAAATTAATTAAGGAAATTGCGCTTAAATTGTCACTAGACTTTTTATTAACTTGTTGTTTTTTTTTTACCTCAGCGACCAGCTTAGTGCAGGTCTGCGCGGGTAGGGGCTTATTAAACGTTGTACCCTGGTTCTCATGGTTTGGGGGTACTGGTCCACTTAAAATATAGATATAGAAACCGAATCTGAAATTAACCTAGTCTTTGGAGGAATCAGGGCTGCACATATGAGAACTATGACGCAATTCAAACCTGCGCATTAACTCCAAGTCTAATACTTACATGGAATTTCGTCAACCTAACTGAAATAGTACTCAAGGTATCTTTTTTTACAGACACACATGCGCGCGCAGACATACCAATTTGTAAAATTTAATTTTTCGGACTCGGGGAGGTGTAAAACGTCTAGGTTTACACGATTACAATATGCCTTATATACTTTCAAAATCTTATTTAGAATTTTTGCTCGTTTACAACAATACTTCCTATGTAGTAAGCAATTAAACCCTTGCTTCTCCATCCACAGTCCTCCTCCAGGACTCTTTAGAGCGCACGCTTGGGTTTTCCAGTCAGGGCATAACCGATCCATTCCCACTTACGGGCTTTTATGTTTCTGTCTATCAGCTGGTTTTTTTGTGTGTATGTGTGTGGGGTTTTTTTTTTATGAATTGCCCAGTTTGCCGTTTGACCTTTTTTTCTGGTCATATCTCTTTAAGATTCGTCTTTGGGAACTATTAAGAGTAAAACGAACCTGGCATACAATTACACATATCAAGTTTTCGTATTTTATATTCTTTTGACCGACTAGTCAGAAATGAAGAGTTACACTATTCGTAATTTGCGGCGGGCAAAAATGAGAGTTTTTAAAACTCGACTATTTCAGGCCAGAAATGAGTTTGAGCCTATTACTGTGTGGTTTGTAGTCTCATGATGGATATACTTTGCTATGAAATAGGTTACAGGGTTTCATTTATAATCTAGTGAGACAGTGCACCATCAAACCAAAATGGCCCCGTTAAAACGACCCCGACAAATCGGCTCCCGACAAAACGACCCAGTCGAAATAGCCCCGACATTTAGGCTTCCGACATATTGGCTCCAGACAAATAAGTCGTATGACCACTTTCGACATAACCATTTCGTCCATCCTTCCAAGCACACACAGTTCCTACCTCCACTGATGGGTGAAATACACTTTCATGAACCACCAACAGCTATTCCTTAAAAAAAATAGAACTCTTAACATTAAAGTTGCAGCTAATTGAAAATTATGTCGGGGCCATTTTCACGGTGCACCGCCTCAGACCTGAAATTTAGTTAAAGAACGGGGGAAATTTAAAGTTATAATATACTAGAAACAAATTTTACATGTCTGAATTGAATGTTTATATTTTAAATCATGATATATCTGTTATTATACCACAAACTCATTAGGTTTCGATTTTTATTTTAGGTTATGAATGGAAGCTATGCTGAGCCATACACTAACCCAAGAGGACCCGTTCATATCATAACTGGGTCTGCAGTAAGTCATGGTTTTTTTCTGTCGACTACATACACACCTAATTATTACCATTATCATGTTGATGAATGGTTTTGTCTTCGCACAACAGAACTTAGGAGGTCATCCATAAATGACGTCACGTTTTTTTGACGATTTTTACCTCCCCCCTCCCCTCCGTCACAAAAAGCCAGACCCCCCCCCCCCTAAAATGACGTCACACCTCAGCTTACAACCCCCCCCCCCCCCATAATTGCTGTAGAATTTTTCTTAAAACGAGTGTGACGTCATTTATGGACGACCCTTTAACCGGATTTATTATTATTATTATTTTATGTTTTTGCTGTAACGCTAACGTTTGAATTTGTTATGTTTGCGTAGGTACGTCAAACTGATTTTTTTAAAAGTCCCTAGAGCTTTTTAAATGTTGCAAGGTCCAAAAATCGAGATTCTATCATTCCTATTTATTTTAAAATGTTTTTAACTTTTTTTTTGATAACCTAAAAAGTGCCACATAAACTCAATTTATTGAACTCAATAGAAATACACAGACAATAGACCCAATTTTTTTTTTACACTTCAAGATTAGGAGCTACATCATTTAAATTAATTACAATGTGAAGTGCTTTTCTCCTTTTTATTAAAATTATAACGAGGATTAAAGAACCACAGATTGTGTACATTAAAACAATGGTCATATAGCCTATATATATATATATATATATATATATATATATATATATATATATATATATATATATATATAGGCTATATCCTAATATATAATTCCCCATGTGCGCACTTCTCTCTCTCTCTCTCTCTGTCTGTCCGCAAAATATTTTCGCCGGATATCACGTCAGAATCGGCAGCGATATATGGATACCTTTATACGGACTTTTGTTGAAAATAATATGTTAGATGTTTTAAATGTATAACCACAATTTTATGTAAAGAAGAAAAATAAAAAATAAAGGCGTATTCGAATGTAGAGAAACAGTTTTTTTATGCAACAGGAAAAGCGTTTATAATTGTGAAAAAGAATGCATAAAACAGTGACGTCACTAATGTTTATACAATAACTAATGACGTCATCTGCCGTGTTTAGAATAAAAAGAAATGAACTATTTCATTCAAATTTGATTTAAATCTACGTACGCTATAAAACTTATACAATACAATTTTGCTCGGGCTAAACTTTAAAAAAATTCTATTAGGATTCTAGATCTAGAGATTCTAGATCCAGATCTAGATGATCTAGATCTACGGAAAAACTAGATGTAGACCCTACCTAGATCTAGAATCTGTTAAAATAAAACATTTCTATACTAAATTATTTCAGGCCTTAATTACTTTATTGAAATCTGTGTTTACCTATGCAATTTGCTAATCTCTATAATATATAAAGCAAAGTTGTCGGGTGCCCGGCGCTTCAAATTTGGCAGGATCTTGCCTTGGGGCGACAGAACACGGGGACCAGTTGGCCAAAAAGTCTACAATGAGGGGGTCAAAACTGACCTCGACTGACCGGCGCCTTATATGAGCTATAAATCGGAAAAAAATGTCCACGTAGGAACCTCTTCATAACTCCTGAGGTCGTAGACCGACCCTCGGGCGAATTAATTAAGCTTTCAAATTCTCAATGTTTTCGAAAGCCTAAGCGAAGCTGGGCAGCATGCCTAGTATACATACATATATATATATATATATATATATATATTCAGCGGTGGCAGGAATAATACAAGGGTCACATATGGAAATTGTTTGTCAAAATAGTTTTAGGCTTTTGAACAAGTTGCGCATTTAAAAAAAAAGGAAATTATTTAAAATACCTCGGTCAGTGTTGGTGTATGTTAAAAATATGTACTTGCATATGGTTCTTCAATTGAGTTTGCATACATTAAAATATATTTGCATAATATATACAATTACGGGGGCTAAAATTCATTTTTTTATTTTTACATAAGTATTTTAACAGTCGTTCTTCACAACTATAATTTTTATATTTATATGTGCATACCTTGTTTTTTTTTAAAGTTATAAAAAATTCTGACTTCATTTTTAAAGTACAAATGATTTGTCGGTATAGCTGTTTTTTCACGGATATTCTTTTTTCAAGAGATTATTTCCAAGTAGTAGACTATTATTATAAATACACATAGTTAAAACAGTGATACCAATCTTCCTCCACCGCACTCTCTATTTGACGACTCTAATATTTTACTTCATTTAGCCTAGTTAAAGTTGAAATTATTCACACAAAAATAACATGCAAACTTGAAAAATTGTCGGTTTTATGGTAAAAATAAATTAAACTTCGCACTATGTAGTATTTTGCCTTAAATCATTGTTAAAAACGAAACTATCCATGATCTTCTTCGGTTTTTCTATTTTAAACTAGATCTATACCCATACATGGTTTACACCGGCAACGAAAAATTAGAGTAACCTCTGTCAGAAACAAAATAAAATAATTGAATTGAGCAATCAGAAAAACCGCTACCAAATTTAGTAAATTGGACAAAGCTGAAAATTAATTTATATATATATATATATATATATATATATATATATATTGTGTATATGTCTTTTTATTTGTTCTACTAACGTCAAATTAAAAAACCCTGGCAAGGAAGAAAAAGGTCATTTTCTGTGTGGTTCATTTTTGAAAATGCTACCTAAAAACGTATACAGTTTCAAAATTACTTAATTTTTTTTATTTGCTTTGTTGTTGTTGTTTTTTTTACATTGAAAAAAAATTAATGTGATGCAAATCTTTTTTTTCTTCTTTTTTTTTCTTTTTTTTTTGTTTTATTTAGCATTCCAGTAAAGGCTATTCAGTATTGCTTATTTTATAGATATGTATATATATATATATATATATATATATATATACACATATATATATACACATATATATATATATACATATATATATATACATATATATATATACACACATATATATATACACACATATATATATACACACATATATATATACACACATATATATATACACACATATATATATACACACATATATATATACACACATATATATATACACACATATATATATACACACATATATATATACACACATATATATATACACACACATATATATATACACACACATATATATATACACACACATATATATACACACACATATATATATACACACACATATATATATACACACACATATATATATACACACACATATATATATACACACACATATATATATACACACACATATATATATACACACACATATATATATACACACACATATATATATACACACACATATATATATACACACACATATATATATACACACACATATATATATACACACACATATATATATACACACACATATATATATATATATACATACATATATATATATACATACATATATATACATACATACATATATATATATACATACATATATATATATACATACATATATATATATACATACATATATATATATACATACATATATATATATACATACATATATATATATACATACATATATATATATACATACATATATATATATATATATATATATATATATATATATATATATATATATATATATATATATATATATATATATATATATATATATATATATATATATATATATATATATATAGCCTAATCAGGTTTCCAACATTTCTGGGTGGAATCAGGGATATCTTATTGGCTCGAGTCTGGAGGCTGCTTGAGACTTAAGCGATTAATTATGCACAACTACAAAAATAACTAGTAGTATCTCGATACACGTTTAATTCGTTCCTTAAGAATCGTTCTTTGCTCGTATCTCAGAGCAGTTTTCTCTATTGAAATCTATTAAAATGTCATTAGTTCGTTCCAGTCCCAAAATTTCACCCGTTATTTTTACGTGTTTAAAAAAAAATAAAGCTGTAGTAAACCATTAAAACTTTCTCGTATATTTTTACATAACAGTAAGGGTGATGGTACTTTCATGCAATCCAGATATAGAAATGTTTTTTATTAGGTTCTTTATAATACTCACATTTTTTGAAAATAGAATAGAGAGTAGAAAAAGGTATAAAGTAATTTCTCACCAAATTAACATAAACAATGTGTTCATAATAGAGCGAAAAATTAGTAGGCCTACTTTATAAAGAAACAATATTTTTTTTTAATTAATTAAACATCTTATAAAGTCACATTTTGTGTCACAGTGCATTGTCATCGAGTCTCAACCTAAGTGAAAAGTTTTGAAGAAATCGGTCCGGTAGAAGTTATCTGTTTTCAGAAATTGGAAATAGCGTAAAGTAATACTTTCGTTCACCGAAAATCAATTAAAATTTGAATCAAGGGATTAGGATTTTATACCTATGTCTAAAATTTTGTCCACATGGCTGAAGCGGTACTCAAGTTATCGATAATTTACAACACAGACATAGAGAATTGGAAGTCACTAAAAATGGTATAAGATTTTTTACTTATGTACGAAATTTCGTCTGACTGCCTGGAACAGTACTCATGTTATAATCTTTCACACGGAAATCGAGTAAAATACTATTTCCGTTAACCAGAAATCGTTCAAAATTCAAAAAGAAGCATGCGCATACGATGTATTACTTATATATAAAATTTCATCCACCAAACTTAAACAGAGAAATCGGAAGTAATTACCACTTCCGGATATCGTTCGGAAGTTGATACAAAACTACAAATTCGATAAAATACCTACACATTAAATTTCGTCAACATAACTAACGGTACTCAAGTAATCATGTTCAGAGACACACACACCAACAAAATTGCCAAGCCCAGTTTTTCCGATTCGATGACACCTAAAACACCGCGATTTTGAGATATCTGGATTTATCATTTGTGCCCGAATAAATAAAGTCAACTATATCCGTACATGATGAAGTAGTGTAATACGGTAAAAACTGTCAAACGTTCATTGTTGTTTTTTTTTTTTGCACGATTACACTGCTTCCTCTATACTTCTATATGAAGTAAAAAGACAAGTATATTTATAGTTATAATTTAATATATATATGACAAATATTACACAAAGAAGTAAACTGGTTTCATAAAGTGTATTTACTTTCAAAATGAGCCCACTTGAGGTTACGTAAGATGCTGGTTGAGGAGCTTCACTTTCTTCACACTCTTTGTTAAAGCTGAGCTCTTCCTGTTTCGTTCACTAATTCACTTATTCATTACATACTTTATTTCATCCCTTAACATAAAACATCGAACAAAATTGAATCTAATTGTTATTATGATCTGTTGCTTTCGTTTAATTTTCATCACTGCTTTCCTATTGAAATAACCCTGTGCAATGAGTTTTTTTTCTCTCTCTTTTAAAAGTGTCATGAACGAGATCCGATACACATTCAGCTGCAACTTTTTAGTGGTGTAACTTTTCCTCGAATTTCCGTTAATCAACTGGTAATCAACCCTGAATCTCAAATTTTGCTTGTATGTCGAAGCAAATTTTAGCTCGCTCGACAGCCCATATCTGGACACTAGTACCTCGAGGTACTACTGTATATATATTTAATAAAATATTTGCCGTTATACATGTTGAGCCTTGTGTTTTCATGCTTAATTTTCAGGGTTGTAAAGAAAAACATGACAACTTTGATAAGAAAGTTGATGACTGGTCTGCCTACCGCAGTGATGATTATGGTTATACCAGAATGAAAGTATTTAACAAAACACATCTTTACATGGAACAAATTTCTGATGACAAGGTTTTTAAAATCTATTTTTAAAGCAATACACTTACATACTATTATCTTTTATTATTTTTTATTGACATCCGTTAAAATGTATCACCCCTTGTAGCTGAATGAATAGATTGTCAGGCTCATTGTTAATTAAGTTAGTATGACTAAATGAATTAAAATCTGTTGTCTCAGTCAAAAAAAAGAAATAATCGGGTGTACAAAAAATTAGATGTTCTCTTATGACAAATTTTAAAACTGAAAATCTGAAATCTATTTTCTATCTCGATCAGCAAACTAATTACAAGTTCACCCTCTTAGCCCGCCCCCCCCCCCACCCCCCCCCCCCCCCCCCCCCCCGTATGATCCTTTATGATTGCTGTAGTTTTTGTTCTACTAGAAGGTTTACAATTTCAGTTATTTTGATACACATCCACACACCACTCCACTCCACACATATTTGAATGCAATCCACTTGCAATCCACATTTTCAACATGACCTTTCGGCTAAAATATTTTCTCAGACGTAAAATCATACTTATTAACATGCTTAAAATGTGTGTGAATATTTATATATTTATCAATGATTAACATTTAAGTTTTCTGAGATAATTGTTAGAATTTTAAGTTAATTGTATCTTTCAGGGTGGAGCCATCATAGACAAATTAATGATTATCAAATCCAGTCATGGTCCTTACACTGATTATCCAAAGCCAGTCAATATTATGGGAGATCCTTTGAAAAAGCTCTGGAAACAATGGAAATACTTTGCCAAAGAACTCAAAGACATCCTTCCATAAACATAAAAGCAAATATGTTTTTACTTGGCACTATAATTGTCTGAGTTTTTTATTTGTTAATACTTATACTAAAACCTTTCAGCCGATAAAAATAATTTTAGTGTAATTTATTTATTTTATTTAGTAAAAAAAATGATATAATAAAAGGGAAACATGGGAACACAAATTTTTGTGAAAATATTTAAAACATAGGCCTACTTTTTGGTAATAAAACGTGTCCAAATTTTTTACAATAAATTAAAAATGATATACAAAACTGTCCACAGAATATAAATTTCTATTATGATTTTAAAAATAACTGATTTATGAAACGTTTGAAAGTGAAAAGATGAGAAAAAAGTATATATTAATTCAATGTTTTTTTTCTTTTAAAATAAATAACTTAGTGGTATGTACTAATACTATGCAATGTTATGAGTATAACTTTAAAGGTTATGTAAAAAGAAGCTTTAAAGAAAATATTTTTAACCGAAAGATTTTTTTTGAAATTTTAAAGTAGAAAAAAATAACAGATTAAAGAAATTTTTAAATTGCCTTTAATATCAGTATTACCACTCAACATTCCATGAAATTTTTGTACAATAAATAATAGAAATACTTTTATTTGTTCCTGTTTTTTTTCTTCTTTCAGTTATAAAATTAAATGAAAATGACTGCTATTTGATCTGGGAAAAGTGTTTAAAAAAAGAAAAAAAAACCCCAGAAAGTTATTGGTTTATACAGACCATCTAGTCTTGTAGGTGTTGAGATTTAAGGTCTTGATGATGTCTTAAGGTGACGGCATGGTCATATGGTAGAGGTTACCTCCGCTAACCTAAAGGCTCGTTCAGTGTTAGATGGGAACCTTATGTTAAAGAAGCATAGTGTTGACCACACTGTCCTCCTAAATGCTGAGGTAATTGGAACAGATTATTAAAAGTCTTGGACACTAACGGGAAAGATTAATGATGTTTAGGAGTTAAAATATTCCGTAAACGAACAGGAAACTACTTCTGGCGAGGGTGACAGAATAGCAGCTTGTTAGAGAGGCTATTGTAGGGAAAAAAGACATGGGAAAAAAAAACCAGAAAAAGACAGAAGTCACAAATGTGTATTTGCATGAGATTTGTTTATACTTTTATGAATTAAATATTCAGAAAGTAAAAATCAACTTACGATTCATTAAATGTAATGTAATTTGCGTAGGTTATATAAGTTTTGTAATATTTATAACACTAAATTTAGTACGGCAGGTTTTATTACGTTATATAATTTAATATAGTGTTGCAAGCTTCTCGGTTTTCTTTGGGTTTTTTTAAATACTAATTTTAAATTTGCATGAAATGGCATAAAGATTGTGATTTGCTGTCGTCGACTCATTGCAACAATAGTTCATCCACATTGTTATAACTGCTGTGTTCTATATGTGTACCACAGTTATGCAGTGAGAGGGTACAACTACCTGATCCAATACCATCTTTCCATATCACTACCATTTGATTATGTTTAGCTATGCTACAGTATATCTTGAGACACGACGACATCAACGCTTACGAAGGATTTGACAGAATGACATCGGTTACTAACTCTATTTATTGCACAATAAGAAATGGACATCGGACAGCTTGGATAAACGATACTACAACTAGACAACCTAACTCTAACATAACACGGACAAGACTAACTTCAATCTTCTTCCCTGGCAACAACGAACTCACACTAAAACGTCACTTTCTTGCGTACCGCGTCACACACTCACTCGTTCAATATACGGCCACACCATCAATCATGCGCACCCATTGCCCTAGTCAAACATGCATCATAACACACATGTACTGCCTACATTTATCAAGCTCATTACTTAACAGAGCATAGGATCAAAACAAAGGCTGTAATTTGACGCAAATCCTCAAGAATACACAATATGGACGGCAATGCCGACTGAGGAGAAGCCGGCAATGCAAATGCCTACGGCGACAAATGCAAAACACAATGTGCCTAAATTTCGTTTGTAATTAATATTTCTACTGCATATTTAACTAACGTAAAAAATTAAGGCTGCTGTATAAATGATTATATATTTTTATTGTTATGTACTGTAATATTTTTACGTCTATAAATATGCTATAAAAAACCAACATTAATAAACCCCAAAATTTTTTTTACAATCCTCAACAATTAAAAAACAAGTTAATAAAAAGTCTAGTGACAATTTAAGCGCAATTTCCTTAATTAATTTTTTGTGACCGAACGAATCACCCGTAGATGTTTGCACAGACGAGCAGAGCTAGTCCCCGCCCCCTCGCGAGATCTGCGCGAGTCTGGCCAATGTTACAATTAGACGGTGAGCTTGGTTTGGAACCACCGCTTCGCTTCTTCTAGAAATATTTGTATATTCTTAGTAATCTTAGCCAATACAAATTAGAAGAAATTAATTTTTTGTGACCGAACGAAAGGATATTTTTGAAAACTTTCTTCGGCAATTTTGTTCTAAATTATGGCAGGAATCGATTGGTGAATGTTTCAAGTCGCTAAGTGGTCTGGTTGTCGAGATATGGGCCAAAACTGCATTTGTTCGAGGTTTTTTGGCTTTTCCGGGAAATCCAGGAAGGAATTCCGGGAAATTTTTTGGCCCACTCATCCTCGGAACTTGCTTAACATATTTGCTTTGGAACTAGTCCTCGTTGAGGAGATACGACTTAAAGCTGCGGACACGCTGCGGACACATCCATAAAATCCATCCATCCATCCACCCATCCATTCATCCAGAAATGACGAGTTAATAATCGCAATCCCCCAGTATGGAAATTGCGCTAAAAATATTTCTTAACATTTTTGGTGACTATTTCTGGAACGAAAAATGGCGACTTTGTACAAGCTTTTATTTAACTCACTTCCTCGTCAGATCGAAACGGCAGAGCAAAATATACGGTTCTTAGTTGGAACGTGGGTCAACACATAAAGACAATGCATCGTGACATTAAAATTGACTTAATTGGATGCCTAATTAATTTTTTACGAATTAATTAAAATTTTGACCAAATTAATAGGCATTTCTATCCACACGCGTCAAGTTCAATAGCGCATATTCACGTTCAACAGGCGCGCAATGGTTTTTAGTCATGAAACTCTATTGTAAATAAAAACATGTAAAGTACTAAAACTAATGCACTAAAAAGTAGAAAATAAATTATAGACTACTATTTATCTACTGACGGTACCACTTTGATTAAGCGCCTGTATTATTTTTAATTTGATACGAATTTTAAAAATTATTGATGTAATTGATAATATCATCTCCCCTAAGTCACAGGTAGGTGGAGAGATCGATGTCTTTTGAAAATTTCTGGTGTGGCGCCATTTTCAATCTCTACCTGTATCGGTAGTTCACAATTGTTCTGTACATATCTCACATGTGTTCCTGATTTCCCTTTGTTTTACCTTATTCTTCAATTTTTCAACGCCGAATATTTTTTATTGGCATCTTCAATAGTCAGGTCAATGTGTTTAGATTCTAGTTTTACAATTTTAATCAAATTGTCTTTATATTAGATCGATGTTTACAAGTGGACTTGTAAGTACCGTCAGGGCACTGTCATTTTTTTAGGATTTCTTGGAAATGGCAAATTTTCGATGTGGAGTGACATAAATATTATTTTGATAATTAATTTTCAAAATGTACATTTATTAGATGGTTAGCATAGGGTTAACCTCAGAAATATTGTAATTAATTGCAGATTTCTAGTAGTAAATGAATAACAAGAATAGAGGTGGCAGTTGCAGGATCGTTTACTAGTTCTAGAAGTAAGATTTGTTAGTTATATTTATTGCAAAAAACTGTTTTGTCTATAATAGCTAGCGTGTACACTTTTTGAAGAAAATAAGTTACTCCTATAGCCATATCAATAAAGTGGCAATTGAAGTAGTATACTAATTTTTGTTCAAAAAGGTATAAGCCTACATTAAAATAAACTATATAACAGTAAAAATATCAAAAGTCCTAAGAATAGTTAACCAAAAAAGAACTTAACAAGTCAATTTCTTCGAAATCAACCAAAAGTGTTTTAGCAGGTTTTGAAAGTGGACTCCTCACATGTTGACCAGTAATAGTCCATACATCGTTTTGTAAATTATTTTTAATCAGTAAACACACAACAGTAGGCCACTACGGCTATTCTAAACACATTGAGCTCACTTCTATTTATGAATTTACATTGTAGTGTAGACGTGTCATAAAATTCTAGTAGGCTACAATTATACTAGTATTACTACTAGTAGTGTAGTGAATGACTAGGCTTTCGTTTTCAAAATATTGTTTATGCTACTCATTGGAAGCTACCAGCAAAAGTAGGCTTAGTCCGGCAACTATTGCCACACCAGAAAGACGACAGAAAAATTTAAATAATGTATCAGGTATAAGGAATGAGGAGCATGACATGTCGGCACATTTTGCTGTGTTTGAGGTCTAAGATCTGTTCTGATATATCCAGTAAAAATCGTACTCAAAATATACTTTTGTGCAGTGTTTATGTTTAAAAATTATAAAAGTGATTGTTATAATGATTGCCATGTTATTAGTTATTAGCTCTATCGTTCTTTCCTGTTTTGTACATTTTTTTTATTTTTGGAAAAAACGTCGTACATTCCTGAAGACACTTATAAGTACTAACATATGTTTGGGCCCTTAAAAATTTATGAAACAAAATTTCCCTCGACATATGCTTTAAGTGTGAATAAAGCAATATGATAAAACATTGTTTAAGGGCAGGTTAAACCCAAATTGAAAACTATGTTTTAGGACATTTTTGAGTGATAAGGAAGTAGTAACAAACATACTTTATGAAAAAAATCCAAAAAAAATCACTAAAAAGTTATGGTTTTGTGAAAATATTTTCTAAAAAGTGTCATTTTTAAGGTAAAATAGCTCAAAATTAGCCCTCATTGAAATCACAATAACACAGCTTTTGTTTATCAGAATAACAAATCTTTAACGGTGGCCGGAAAGAACCGCAACGGAAAAAAGCGCAACGGAAAAAAGCGCAAAACAAAAAGCGCAACGGAAATAAGCGCACACGGAAAAAAGCGCAAAGAGAAAAAAGCGCACACGGAAAAAAGCGCAAAGAGAAAAAAGCGCAAAGAGAAAAAAGCGCAAAAAGAAAAAAGAGCACACAGAAAAAAGCGCAAACAGAAAAAAGCGCACACGGAAAAAAGCGCAAAGAGAAAAAAGCGCACACGGAAAAAAGCGCAAAGAGAAAAAAGCGCAAAGAGAAAAAAGCGCAAAAAGAAAAAAGCGCACACAGAAAAAAGCGCAAACAGAAAAAAGCGCACACGGAAAAAAGCGCAAAGAGAAAAAAGCGCACACGGAAAAAAGCGCAAACAGAAAAAAGCGCAAACGGAAAAAAGCGCAAACAGAAAATGCGCAACCAGAAAAAAACAACGAAAAATGTGCAAAAGAGAAATTTAGCACAAATACCTATATCGACTAGATGACACATTTATACATGACTGTTAGGGCTGCTGTGAGAGTGTCGTGTTTGACTTTTTTCTGTTTGCGCTTTTTTTCCGTTGCGCTTCTTTCTGGGAACCATCTGTAATATAAGTAAGGAT